TTTGAGATCACAGGCTCATCCATGTTTATGAGACATACCAGTAGTAGTCATGTGTCATTTTGTTGCTTGTCAAACAACAGAATCAAGATTGTTGTTACAGTTGGTTCAGGTATAATGCTTGTTGCCATTCTTGGTCTTGGCTCTCTCTCACAATTTTTATATTGTTCTCTGGCAGACACATTTGAAGATGATAACTGCTTCACTCCTAAAAAGGATGATCTTGATTTTGCCAGGTAAAATTCTTTTCTTCAATCTTCTCATTACTGTTTTCCCAGCATTATCCCAAATCACTGTTCACCAGAACAGAAGACCATGGAAGTTATGTGATCCATAGAGAAAATATACTCAGCTGCATGTGGGAAGTGCATGCGGTACTTAGTGCTTTGAGCAGTCTGGAATTCAGTTGTTTAACAGTGTAGGACCCTGCTGGCAACTGTAGCACACTGCCCTTCCACTGCCCTACTTTACAAGTTTTGGGGTTTTTTCCAGCAATGTGAAGAAAAAAACAAAAGGAGCTAAAGATGATTTGGGAGATTCAGAGAGTAGTGACGATGAACTTGGTAACCTGGATGATGATGAAGTTTCTTTAGGAAGTATGAATGATGAAGAATTTGAAATTGATGAAGATGGAGGAACATTCATGGATGTGTTAGATGATGAAAGTGAAGGCATTCCAGGTACATGTTTTTTAAAAATAAACCACAAATAGCATAGCTTTCTTCCTCAGTCTTAGGCTAACAAAGGCTCCCATATTTAAAGTTTAAGTCACACGTCAGTATTGGACTTTTAATTTTAATCAGCAATTAGCTTCTCTACATAATTTCTGTTGAGCTGTCTTGTTACCTCTTTCCAGTGTTAAGGAAATTAATAAAGGGCTGGTAGGACAGCTCAGTGGTAGTGTACTTGCCCTTCATGAGAGAGACTGAGTTGGATCCTCAGCATACCGAAAACTGCCTCTCGTTTTTCTCACACCTCCAGTGTGAATACCTGCCTGGCATCCTGCTATTTACCTCAGCGGTAGCAGTTTCTTGTTTATGGGTATTTTGTATTATTAGGTCTTATTAAGGAAGTCATCTAGTAAACTATGTTCTGCATAAAATTCAGAACCATACCAATTACTCTTAGACAGTTCACCCTACTGTGTCCTTGAAGCCTGTTCTGTTGGAATTGTAGAACTGTGAACCTTTACCGAACAGCAGTATAGGGCTTTGCTGTTGGACTAAAGATTCTAGCATACACTGAGTTGATATTTTCCAGTCTTGTTCTTAAAACTGCTTAATAGCAAACTTTTTTGGGTGACAGAATTTGATGAAGTCAGTCCCAAAGCCAATACTAAGAAAAGCAAGAGAAAAAGTGAAGATGATTTTGACTTTGTTGGGTCATTTGAAGGTAAGAACATGCTTTTAATCTCTGTAAACCTAAGCAGCTTCCTTAATAAAAGTATTACTCATTACATTATAGGAAATACATTGTTACAAATAGTTTGATGAAATTTAGAAAAGTTTTCTTAAAGTGGTTGGTGGTTTCTTTTGGCAAGGAGGCTGGGGAGGCCATCACAGCCCACATGTGGAGATTAGAAGACAAGCTTAGGCGTCAGTTCTTAGGCACCATCCACCTTTTGTTTGAGACAGGCTCTCTCTTCGGCCTGGAACATCACCTCATAGGCCAGGCTAGCTGGTCCATAGGCTTCTAGGGGTCTCCTTGTCTCTACCTCCCAGCTACCATCTCTGGGATTGCAGGCACAGGCCACCATATGCAACTTTTTACATGGGTTTAATAATAGTTTAACATGCATATTATTTCCCACATGCAGCCTCAATTTTTATTGTTCCTAAACTTCCTTTCACATGTTAAGTATCTCCAGATGATGATCTTTTCAGTCATTTTTAAAGCATCCAATTACATGTAAGCCCTAGACATTTTACTACTTTAACTTGATATAGTCAAAACTATAGAAGACTTTAACAGACACTTTATTTTCAGTAGTGTAAACAAAAGTTCATTGATAATAAACATTACTTAATCAACTTTTTCCAAGTTCAAAGAGCAACCCCTCTGAATTAAAATGTACATTTTTGCCTTAAGTATTACAAATTCCATCCATGTCAACTTGGGAATTTCAGTTTTGCCAGGTTCTGTAGTATTTCTTCTAAGGGTAAATTCTTGATCAGTAACCAAATCCTTAATTTTTACTATCCAGCCATTTTTCTTGATCTTTCTCTCTGACTCCATACAATCCAGAGTATTCAATAGATTTGTAATAAACTTCCAAAACAGAGGGAAATCTCTTGCTCATTGTCTGCCTGAAATCTTGGCTCGTGTTCATCTTTTGAAACAAAAAATAAGCTCCGAAAACACCCATAAGTTCAGCAACTAAAACTCCTTTAAAGATCTTCTTTGCCAGCGGTTCTATGGTACGAGCCATCCCGAGGCGTGCGCCCTCGGATTGCGCATCAGAAAACCTATTTTAAGGAAACCTTCATAAATAAAAATTTTTAAGGAAACGTGTTCCTTACATGAAAGGTAGAAATTGTAACTCACGGTTTCATAGTATTTGTTGATAGATGCATACAATCAAAGCAACCAAAGTAATACGGGATTTATGCTCTGACTTCTTTTCCATAGCCATTAGCAGGCCTTCCAGAAAACCTAACAGAATTAAGCTGTAGTATGCACTGGTCAGCACTCTGAGTCATCCTTGCCTTTGTTTAGCTGTCCTGACATGATACATGTTGGTACCATAGTGACAGATAATAACTACTCTTCTTGTTTGAAAAGACTTTGCCATTCAAGTTGGACCAAAAAATTTGTCATGTTGTAAGCCCTGGACTAACTATACTCAGCCCAAGCAGCAGCACTGCTAACCCAGCCTGACGGGAGCCAGTGGAACAAAGGGTGCCTTCACCTCTAAGCACTGCTGTGCTGTTTCTTTGAAAACAGAAAGGAAACAGACGATTAGAAAGTTGGTAAGCTTCTCTCTGTGTGTATAAACTTAAAAGACAATCAAAATTAAAATAACCGAGAGCTGTTTTAAGTTATTTGCTCTGCTAACACCTAGCCAACAGAAGGAGATGTTTTGATACTGCTTAGTTGTATTTTGAAATACAAACTCTTGGGGAAGAAGAACGGTGGCACATCTTTAATCCCAGGACTCAGGAGGCAGAAGCAGACACATGTCTCTTGGAGGCCAGACTGACCAGCAAGTTCCAGGCCAATCAGGGATACACAATGAGACCATGTCTCAAAACAAAACAAAGCAAAACAAAGCAAAACAAAATTTAAATCCTTCATATAGCTTTTGTATTGTTTTGTACAGGTTTTAATTATATAAAATAAAAATATGTCCTGACTTTGAACAACTCCCTTTAGCTTTCTGGAACTTATTTTTCATTATCTCTAGTAATTGGATGATCTCTAGGGTTCATTCAAGCTATAGAATATGATATTAAACATTTTCTCAGGCTGGCCAGAAGCCTGACATGACTTAGATTCCTGGGGCCTACATGGTAGAAGGAGAAAAGTAACTCCTGCAAGCTGTCTCTGACTTCTACATGTGCACCATGGCAATGTGCACCTACATACACACACACACACACACACACACACACACACACACACATACACACACACAATAAATAAATAAATAAATAAATAAATAAATAAATAATGCAAATTTTTAAATTAATAAGTGAACCCAGGCATGATAACACATTCCTGTAATCCCAACACTTGGGAGGCAAGAGGATCACCACAAATTTAAGGCCAGTATAGTCTATATAGTGAGTCCTGGTCAGTCAGGGTTACATAGAGAGACTCTATCTCAAACAATAACAACAACCTAACAAGTAAAAAAAATGATAGTACTTCACTTATATTTTTGTTAAAATACAGACTTTAGTTAAAATGACAGCTATTATTGCTGGGAAAATTTTAAATGCTAAGGGTTTTTCCTGAAATGCTCAAGATGGTTGGAAATACATTATCATTATCATGAAATTGTAAAACATGCCCAGTGCCAGTCACTGTCAGATATTCAAACCTTATTGAGCATTTAATATCTGTTGGGAACCACTGAAAACACTGGGGCATAAAACAAACCATCTTCATGGTGCTTTCACTATAGTGAAGCAGACACAAATTCATACTTAATATTCTCAGATAAAAACAATAAGCAGGGAGCTATCAGTGGTTCTGCAGGACGGCAACACCAAGGCCATTCCGGGTCTGTCTCACTGATAGCATCTTTCCCTGATCTCATGGCTCTACTTCTTCTGGAGATTAGAAATTTTTCTTTATGGCATGATGCCCATTGTGGCTAACAAACTAGAATTTTAAGAAATTTTTATTTATTTAATTTCTATTTTATGTGTATGAGTGTTTTGCCTGCAGACATGTAAGTATACCCATGTAAAGGAATGAATGTCAGGCCAGATGAGGGTATCAGATCTCCTAGAACTGAAGTTATGGGCAGTTGTTAGGTGTCATGTGGGTGCTGGGAAGAGAACCCAGGTCCTCTGCAAAACCAACCAGTGCTCTTAACCACCGAGTCATCCTCCAGCCCCACACTGTAGAAATTTTGAACTATATCATCTTCTTGCAGAGGACCTAGGTTCAATTCCCAGCATGCACCTAGCAGCTAACAACAGCAACCATCCATAACTCCAATTCCAAGGGCTCCAACCCCCTTTTTTTTCTTTTCAGGTGAGGAGAGGAAGTTTCATTTGACCCTAGTGGGACTAACACCAAGAATCAAAGGAGTCAGACTCCCTGTTCTAGTTCTGGAGGGTTTTCATACTTGTGAGGAATGCAAGCAAAAGGTACACAGCATATACACGGTAATTAAGTAAGAGAACATAGGGCTGCAAAGGGAATAGAAATGCAAAGGCTACAGGAATGCAAAAGCCTTAGGCAACAAAGATTTCTGTACAGGAATGTGATAGCTTTGGAAAACAAAGACTTCTACCCAGCGTAACCACGGGACCAGGGGAAGATTCCTGTTCACTTCCTCATTTCTATCTCTAGGCTTTCCCTGCTCCAGAGTTCTTAATAACCATCACATTGCAAAAGCTTTTAGCATCTAATATGCACTTCTATTTCTACAATATCCCCTCCTCTTCATTGACCTAATCCCTTATGTTATTGAAGAGGAACTTTGAGATATTTTTGACAAATTCCCTACCATCTGATGGCCTCTACTTGTTTTTGATAAATTTAGTGAGTTTATTATCCAAGACTTTAACAGTAAAGATAACAGAACCATGACTACTGGTCCTGTTAGTGAGACGAGCCAGGGACTTCCCAGGTGTTTTAGAAAGACTCATTTTCCCTTTTTCAGGACTTTATTCTCTTTAGCAGTTGCCTTGCATTTTTTTTTAAACTATATCCAATCGATTTAGCACAAATACTTTCCTTTCTGATGGTTCTGGCATCTCTCTTCTCAGAGACAAGTTTACTGGCAAATCTAAGGGAATTTTCAGCTCAGAAAGAAACTGGTCATTTTCTTTTGAGGTCTTTACTTTAAAACTGTCTGATTTTTACCTTTTATTTTTATTACTTTTGAAGAGGTAACCCAATTTGCCCATGGGGAATCAGGATGCAGACCGCTCTGTTTTTTCCATGCTGAACAGGGATGCAGGGTGTGCCAATTAGGGTACCCCTTCAGTGGGTCTATCTAAAAGACTCCCAAATTGCATAACTTTTAGCTGTAGGGAGAAAAGGAAGTCCTTGACCAGTGCCTGGGCAATGTGAGGAAGTAAAGGCAAGAGTAGTTAGCATTACAAGTTCTAGACAGAGACCAGAAAAAATCAGAACAGGGAAAAATTTAAATGTCCAAATCAAAGCCCATTAGAATTTCCTGATGAGGGCTTCCAAGAGCGTGCATTCATTGGGTTCTTCCTCATTTTTCTTTTAGCCACCAAGCCTGGACTCAAGAGTGATGAACTCACGGTTTGTTTTTAGGCACTCTGAGAGCTGTTGGACTGGCTAGAATCAGTCTTCTAGACAGGGAAAGAAAATAAATGTATCCATCATTTTAGAACAATAATAGCTGCGGGTGGGCACTACAGTATCGCAGACCAAGATCTGAAGTCTTACTCCAGAACAGCCTTTTCTTGTTAAGAACAAAATCACTACTGAGAAATAATTGTCTAAATAACATTTTACCTAGACTTAAGCCTAATGCCTGGGAAATGCAATCCTTTCAACTCTTAAATATACTGATCACTTTAATTTTTGGTTATGCTTTCTTTTTGGGAGTTTAAGACCATGCATTTGGCCCAAATAAGTTTACTTTTACTTTAAGGTCACTTGTGGATCTGGTCCTCAGGGGTTACATGAGCTTGTGGGGAGCCCCTGGCTCCTTAGGCTTTCTTTTACCAGTTCTGTCTACGTGAAGATAAGTCAAGAGGTCCTGCTCGACCTGGGCTTCGCTTGGAAGCATGGAGGAAATGTTTCTTCTGTGCTGACCCTCCTCTTTGCAGACTGGACACTGATTTGAGTACCTCTGGTGGGGTCTCCATGACCTCCCTGAACAAGAGGACAGGTGACTCATCACAACTATAGGACATATCAAGAGAGTCCCATAGTCCCCTGTCAACCTTCCAGGGAAGGGAAAGGAACAAAACTGTCCCTTAAGCCCCTTTGAGCAGATTAGTATGGGCTTTTAAGTATGGTTATTAACCATCCAAGAAGGTCAGTTGCACCAGCCTGGTACCTTTAATTACTGTGTAATGTATAGATAAAGCTTGGAAAAAAACCAAATGTTCTCAATAAACATTGACTGGAAGAGATTTACCATGACAGTTTAACTAGGCACAGTCCAGAAAAGGGGCCTTAAAACAAAAATTTCCTGTTTGTCTCAAATGAAGGCTGTTCTGTTACAAACAGAAGCAGGCTCCTTTTAGTTTTCTATATCCTGATTTACAGTTTTCAGAAGGGAGGGAGTTTTCATATCACATACCTACAGACAGGAAATAAACTGATCAGAATTCAGACCCAGCTTCACCGAAACTGTTTTCTACTAGATTGCACACATCTGGTTCAAGAAGGTAAAACTGAGTTTTTCTTGAGCCAAATTATTCTTGTTATGGGCAAAAGAAAGTGCCAAAATTAATATTTGCATAATACAGAGAAACATAAAAGACATCTTCTGGTAGCCACAGGTAATTCAATACTTGTCTGCATCTATTTAATCCAAATCTGTAACCCGTTGTGCAGTACAAGCAAGCCAGGAGTGGACTGAAAATTAACAACTCTATCTCGATAAACCTGTTCAGACCTTTAATAAGTTTGCTTAAAATAAATTTTATTATCCCTCCTATTCTGGAAATATCCTATCATTTTAATCTTTATATATAAATCTTTACTACTATAGTCCTTTTAAATTCAGGATATCATTTGCAATTAGGGCAGAACTACAAACATCTGGCTGGGAAGAATGGCTGGA